TGGTCAGAGATCACGACCCCCAGTTTACCCACCGCTGTTTTAACGAACCGGGACCGGAGTTCCTCGTCACCGCCAGCAACAACCTCTATCCAGCCGGAGGCAATCTCAGTGGCCAGAAGGTCATCTACGATGTCCGGATGCGATAGGGCTGATTGCCACGCGGATTCGCAGTGCTGCAAATCAACCGGAGCATCTGAATGAGATTCCGGAGGAGGAAGGACCGGACAGGGAGGCATGGGAAAGTCGACTCCCAAGGGAACTCCGGACTGCAGGAGACGGGCGTAGTCCGCATCTGCGTCTCCCAGGATGAGGGCCAGACAGTGGAGCAGGCGTAGGCGAAAGGGCTGCCCTTCATCCACAGCCAGCAAGGCCTCCCACACGGCGTCATCCGTGATATTAAGAAACAGACGGAGGTCGGAAAGATAGGGGGACAAATCCTCATCAGAGAGAGGAGGATCTTTGGAGTCGGAATTCAGACGAGTTATAAGCGACGTCAGAACCCCGGGAAGAAGCAGGCGATTGGACCAGCGAGACCGGAGACTTTTAAAAGTATCCGGACCGGAGGGACGATGCCAGAAGGCGGAGCTGGATGTGCCTGCACCATCTTCCACTCTTCTCTTGGGAAGATCCCAGGAGAGCTTAGCTGGCAGAAGGGAGCGCCACTGACGCCAGGGCAACAGAGTATCGCTGGAGCCGAGTGCAGGGGCCAGCAAGGCCGACAAAGAGACCGGCGTGACGAGAAAACCAGGAGAGTGCACGTAATTGGTTGGTGGCCAGGCCCTGAGGGCTGGCTTGGGCCAGCAACCAGTCCGGGAGCACCCCCGGAGCAGGCAGGCACGGAGAGCAGGAGTAGACCACGCACCAGGCCGCCCAACCGGACCAAACCGCAAAGTACCTGCTAAGTGTGCTGACCGAAAAGGAGACGATGACACGGACAATGAGAGCCTCGGGTTGCGAGGAGGCCCGAGTTGACGTGAACAACGCAGAGTTTTCACCAAACTCATTTATAAGGGTGAGCCACGTATCACGGAGCTTCTGCATGGAAGCTTCAGCCAGACTGCACATGGATGAGGGGGCCTCAGAGGGAAGAGGAGTCGGAAGGGCCGAAGAACCCGGAGAAGGGAAGGGCGTAGTAGCCACCACCTCTGGAACCCGGAATACGGGGGGGAGGGAGGCAGGGACGGCCGGAAGAGAGAAGACCATCTTAGAAGGGCTGGCCACCCGGGGTTCGCAAAGGGAAGGATCCGAGTGGGAGACAGACGCAGAACGGAAGGGAAAAGGGAGGCCAGAGTGGAGCACCGGCGGACGGTAAGAAGGCCGAAGCCCAAGGCCCGACCAGCGGTTCACGGGCCCAGCCGGAGAGGGTTCCACGGAGTCAAGAGACACCCTAGCCCAGCTCGAGAGAGAAGAGCGATCCGGAGAATCGAGGGGAGGAGACGGCCGAGGCGGCCGCGGAACCAAAGAGAGCGCCAGGTGCTCAGGGCTCACGTCTGCATCAGAAGATGAAGCCGGACCGGAAAGAAGAGAGAGGGGGGACCTGGAACGCCCACGCGGAGGCCGAAAGCCCGGAGAAACCGCGCCAGCAAAGGCCGGCGAGGCAGGAAAAAACCGGACCGGAGAGGCCGGAGCAGGAGGCCGCGGCGGAGCGGCCGCTGCCCGAAACCGGCGAACCACGCAAACCCTCCCGCCTGGAACTGGTAGAGCAGATTCCGTGTCCGAGTCGGCGGCGGGGTGTGGTAGTCGGCGAAGTACCTGGCCGAGACAGACAGAAGCAAAAGCAAGCAGAAACCAGCAACGAACAGAGAGAGTCAGCTAAGGGCAAAAAGTCGCGCTGCAACTTTTGCCCAGAAGCGGTCGGTAGCAAGCCCGGACGCGGTCGCAAAACCGCACCGGATGCAAGCTAAGAAAGCCGCGGCTCCCGTAGATAAACGTGACCGGAGATATAAAAGCTCAACGGCGAAAGGTTTTATCTACGGGAGACCTCGCGGTGAGGGGGGGAAACGTTCAAGGCGGACCGAGCCGCGAAAGTAAAACCCGAGAGACCGGTCATCCGTAAGACCGGCATTCAGAAATGAAAAACCGGTAACGGACAGTCTGTACAGGCGAGTCCAGGCTTGGTCGACCGGATTGGGCAACCAGCGGCCGGACCCGTCACCGGAAAGAAGCCAGTCGACTTCCCAAGCCATTGCGGCTGGATCAAAAGGGACCGGATCGCTGGCTGAAGACCAGTCGGACAGGGAGTCGTCCGACAAAGCGTGCAGCGGAACCGGAGGAGAGACCGGAGAAGATCCCGAACCGGAAGAGTCCGGGTCCACCGGATCAAGTAGTCACGCCGGATTCTCCCGGCGGGGCTGCTTGATCAAGCAGTTCCAACAGCAGTGGTTGCTGTGGCCGGAGTGTTCGCCCAAGTGGACCGGACGAAAGCACAGCCCGTAACACTGACGGCTGCGCCAGGGGGCATTTGTGACCACGGACGGGTACAAAACCCACGGACCGGCAAGTGGGCGAGCGGACCGGGAGGGTCCGGAATATGTACCCACCAGGGTAGCTGAGCCCTTTCAAGGATAAAGAGATCAGCATACGGCCAATGATCCGGCCGGGTGATCTCATGCTGCTGCCCCTCTATGTCTATGCCGAGGCGCGACAGCTGCCAACCCTCCGAGCATGTCCACGGAATGTCGCCTCCCGGAATCCAGTGGCAGCTGTCAGCGCCGGTGACGGACCGGTGGGGCGCGGCCGGGGGCTGGCGGACACCGGGCGGGGCGGAGCCTTCGCCGGTACCGGAGCTGGGGCCGGGACCGGAGCTTGGGCCGGGAGGGGCAGCAGCAGGAGCCGGATCCGGAGGCGGGTCAGCCGGAGAAGTCTCGCTAACCGGGGACGGGGGCATCTCCACATCCGGACCCGGCTGCGGACCGGGCCGCTAGGAAGTCCACCAAAACACCGGACACGCTGTGCTGCAGCTGCCCTAAGGTGGACGCATTGAGTTGCCCCAGACCTGTCTCAAAGTCATCCCGGTTGGCAGCCTCGAGCACGTCCAAGATCTCCCGGACGGAGGGGCCGGGGTTGTTGGTGACCACCGGACCGGACGGTGCAGGTGGGCCAGACGGGGACCGGCTGTCCGAGGGGGAGTGGCGGGCCATGACCGGACCGGAGGTCAAGGTCAAGAAGGCAGGGAGCACGAAAAGAAAGGCCCAAGGCCAAAGATCTAAGCCAAAACGGCAGCGGAGCAGACGAAAGCAAGCGTGCAAGCTGGACAGAGCAACTGTAACCAGAGCAGCATGCTGATCTGCAAAAGCTACCAGAACACGAAACTGACGTGTAACAGCGGCGGGGCACGGGGTCAAGATCATGAGAACACGGAGTGACCACAGACCTGACCGAGCCGGGCTGCAACAAATCTTTATGCACCAGAACTGAGAGCCGGGCCGAAGGTCCGGATCCGAGTCCTGAACAGGACCAGACCAGCAAGCAGAAAAGGAACCGGTCGTCGAGCGGTCCTCGTCCATGAGCTGGTCGAGGTGTTCCTCCATGGTGAGCCTGGCGGGACCAGACAGCACCGGAGAGGAAAAGGCAAGGCGCAGCCAAGCCTGAGGTCCGAACCGGTGGAACGGATCCAAGAGCAAACCTGCCGACGGCAGGGTCACCCAATGGAAAACCAGACGTTGTCTGAGCTTAACGCTGGAACCACTCGACGAGCAGAATCAGCCAAAGACCTGTCGGACAGCGAAACTGACCGGGTCAATGAGGAAAAGGTCTCAGCCTGAAAGGCGAGATCAGAAAGCCATGGCGCAGGACGGCTGCGGAACCGCGGGGCTAAGGAGCAAGCAAAAGAAGGTGCCTAAGACCAAGTAAAGCCGGAACGGAAACCAAGCCGTCCTGAGCCANNGCAGGGACGGCAGTATTCCGTTACGTCCAAACCAAACACATACGATCATGCTCGTGACCTGGCCTGGACGCTTCTTGTGCAATCGGCGGTAAGCGTGTGCCGTCTGGAATGTGGATATATGCTCAAGAGAGTCGGCGTGTCGAAGAATGTGTCCTAAATACGAGATTCGAGAAGAAATAATGTGTTGTGAAGGAGATAGCAGTGTCGGGACATGTTCATAGGCAAGCTGAGATAGATACTCACTAGAGCATTCTGCCTCCGAGGGCTCCAATAGTTTGTGGTAAAATGAGCTTTTCATGTTATATAAAGATTTATAGCTTCCGCGACTTTTCGCAATGGCATCTTAAGATATGTAATCCTCAATCAAATCCGTCATCAAATATAGAAGCAGTCTTCAGTAAGAATATATATAAAAGTTGACGAACTCAAACCGGAGAC